TTGTAAAAAAATTTTTTTATGTGTTTCACACCGTGTGTAAAATCAATTGTGTAACATCAACGTTTCCTCCTGTTCCGGCATTTTACAATAGAATCTTGTGCACTGATATAATATAGACTGAAATTAAAAACTATTCAGCTATAGTATTTTCGCAGATCAGCATAGTATAGGCCGAATTTTGGAATTTATACCTACCATACTGAACCGATGTTATATATATTAGCGTTAGGGTTAGCGTTAGCTGATCAATATAGTATAGCTTTTACTCCCTTTTAATTTCGGCTTATACTATACTGATCTGCCATAACGACGTGCACATATTATCAGCACAAACAAGTAAAGCCTAGATCAGTGTTGAATATTTAGTGTTTCAACCCGGGTGAGTATCACTCGAGCCATCTGCGGCACTTCTTGAATGTGTGCCAGACTTGTGGCGCAGATTTCCTGAACTACGAGTCGGATTTCAAGATCAGGTGGAACGTAACACGATCAAGAAAATTCAAAACAAACGTTCGTTTTGTCAAAAATTACTTATTTCTCAAAAAACCAGCATAAGAAAACACCTTTAGTGCTCTGACAAAAAGTTTCGTTAGGCAATTAAATGTATAAACTACTCCCTTCTAATTCCTAACCCAAACATAAACGAGCTTTGAAGAATTTTTGCTGCGTTACGAACCTGGCACACATTAAAGATATGCGTAGGCGAATGATCCAGTTAAATTATGACCACCCAGGTGGCCAGCCCTCACCCACAGGCAGAGTTATCAATTTGCTAGAGGCATATCGTGCACCTAGTGACTGGACTCGTCAACTCGTGTCTCGAATGACTCGAATTAATGCATTCTCCAAATCACGTAATTTTAACTTGCGAGTTATTCGAAGTTACTTGAAAATTATTTAATTGACAATTTTTCACCAAATTAATTTCATAAATCGAATAACTAATAATCATCGAGTACTCTTCTAAGTTTAATTTGCGAGTTACTAGTTGAAACGAGACCAGTCACTACATACACCTATCTAAAAAAAAATTTGGTATCCAGCCAAATCAAATTTCAAAGCAACATTTTTTAGATAAGGTCCTAAGTATTTCGTGTTTTATATTCTAAAAGAAGCGAGCTATGTAGATAATTTCGATATGGTTACACGATTGATGAATAGTTTTTTTTTATACTTTTTTTAAAAGCACCAGATAGCTTAACTTTCTAAGAAACGAGTAAATTTAATGGATGAATTGGTGCTTTTGCTTCGCCTTATTACGTCTTTGAATCTCCGTGAATCTTTTTTTGCAATCTGATTGGCCAATTTGAAATATGATTGGTTGAAAATCATGGTGTTATATTGGAATTATCTACGGTCGCTTCTGTTAAATATTCAACTTGTGACTAGCTGGATTAAAAGGGTGATTGTTTAATTGTCATGTTTTTTTAACTCGTTATCACCAAATGTGGGTAGAAGTAGAATTTATGTACATATTTAAATCTTCGTTTTTGAGAATCAAGATCCATGCATTGCCTTGACAATTTAACACAGCAAGTTTTGTAGATATTTATTAAAGTTCAAAATCAAACCTATAATCGTCAAAATTTTTCATCCGGTCGACGTCTTTGCTATGATGACTTCGAAAGTATAAATATCTGTGGCTTTTGTAAATTGTAAACTTCCAGAGCAACATAAAGCATAATATCATGCATATTACCTTATTGATCGGTTTAATCTGTTTGTTTTCTAATTCTTTTTATTATTTGTTTGTCAATTTTTTCACCTTGACAGTTTGAAGCACAGCATTACTAGATGATTTATATGATCTTATATAGTTACATATACTACCCAATAAGCTGCGAAGTATACTGGGTCAAATTTTCATTCACCGATTTTAATTGTTGAATCTATCGAATGGAATCAATTAATTTTTTTTAAAAAAAGTTAAAGTTCTTGCTTTTGGGGAGTGATGTTTTTATTCAAATTTATAGAACACAAATGCTTTCAGGGGTTTCCTTACATAGGAGTTTACAACTAGTCACATATGTACAGTACTTTTGGTGCCTAATTTAAGTAGTTTATTTATGCATTACTATACAGGTTTTACATTAAATATTATACCTATAAGTCAACTATGGTTCTTGTTTATTTAAATTTTTTTTTTTTTTTTTTTTTTAATGTTGAAGTTTCTGCCTTTAGGAATCGATTTTTTTATTCAAGTATTTAGACATGGATGCCTCCAGAGGTTTCCATACATAGAAGGTTACAACTAGTTACACATGCATTTTTGGTGCCTAATTTAAGTAGTCTGCCTATACATTATTATACAGATTTTATACTAGGTGTTATACCTGCAAGCCAACTACAGGTCTTGCCTATTTAAACCTTCTGCATATGTAATCTGACTTGTGATCATGGGGACATCTTCTGGGCTACACCTATCTAAAGTACTCAATACTTTTGAGATCCTTAGGACTAGTTTATTCTTGACAGAAAACTTACTAGAACCTTCCATGTTTTACATACACCTGATCTAGTTTTATGCAACATGCTATAGTTACCTAACACTTGCAGTCACAGAGATTATCTGTTTAACCACTATGTTATATTATTTTTATCTTTATAAAGTTTACTAGAATCCCAGTACCTATCATCACAATGTTTTCTTCATCATCTTTTACTAACTACTACTTAGGACTGACAAGATTTCTCCAACTTCCAATTTAGATAGCCTGGTATGATATACTTATGTATCTTTTTCCTTTGATGATTCTGATAGCCTGGTTGGTTATATGCTTCTCTATATATCTTGATATTCAGTTTATCTGCCTATCTCTTTGGAGATATTTCATAGGCTTCCATCAGTCTGACTATACTATCAAAAGTTCATGCTATCTCTTTATTTAAGAGTTTCCAAGTAGGCTTCTAACTCTTAGTTCCTTAGTTTATTACACCCAATAGTCTTATTATAGGTTTGCACTAAAGTTTTATGTAACACCAGTTATTAACATTCTTCTATATATGTGTAATGTTACATTTGACATAGATGCTCTAAGTTCTTATTTAAGATGATGTAACTTAAGATTACAGATACACAAATCCAACTGATTGTCAAGAGACAGTTTGTCATAACACAGGTTAATTTTCAAATTTCATCATAGGTAGAATTTGAACCTTAGACCTGCTACTTGGAAGATAACAACCTGATCATTATATTAGGATCACCATCCTTATTTAAATTTTTTGTATATATATATAATGCAAAAATACTGTTTCTAATAAATCGTTGGTACTGTTCCTGATAGAGTGAGAAAAAAAATTGATCTACATCCCATTCCTAATAGACTGCCAGATGGATATTACACAAACCTCCATATTGGCACTAATATAATTTTGCTTTAACATTAATATTAATAGTAGATTTAATAATTAAATATTTGGGTAAAGCATAACAGACACAATAATCTATATCGATATAAAATAAGATAATACATATTATATCGCAAAGTGTTATTTTTTATATGTATATATCACAGGTTTATTATGTTCATACAGGCAAATTTGTCTGATAGTGTAATAAGGGTAATAAACATCCTAATTACTATATATATTAATACCATATATATTAATAACAATATAGCTTTTGAGCCTCATATATATAAATTAAAATCTTAGTGCTTAACGACCTAAGATTTATTACAAATGATTATTTAATAACCGATAAAAACCATCATATCTAATTATTTCAATGCTTCTTGATTTATTACAACCGATTATTCAATACCTAATAAAAACCCAATCATATCTAATTATTTCAGTGCATATTTAAGGTGTTCTTTATTTATATCAAAATCAGTAATTAGCAAATACAATAAACTACTATCTTAAAATATAACATAATAATTGTATAATATTTATTACCAATTAATAACTATAGAAGTCCTAGCATAATTTGTATTCTTTATTATAATATGATTAATCACTGGAGAGAATTATTGAACCTGATATTTATTTCAGGTTTTCTTATCATTTGTTATATCTGTATATGTGGTGCTTTTAATTTGATCGATTATTGATCAAAGTAATTTATTTATTTAGGTGATCATTATTGCATTTTAAAAACAAATAGTAAAAGTATATTGTTCGCTAGATTTTAACTGATATGGAGAGTGATCGATAATGTAATAAGTATAAAAAGAAACATCTTTCATTTAAGTATGCTTTTGTCTCATGAACTTGTAGGTGAGATGATGTTATTAACAAAATAAATGCGTTAAGTATATTTAAATTGAGAATAATAGAAGAAAGAGAATATCTACTTTCAAGTGGATATATAATAGTACAAAATTATCAAACTTATGCTGTTATATAAAAATTAAAACCTAAGTAAGTTGAAATATATTATTACATTAATTAAAAAATACGCAGTTAATTAAAATACTTTATAATAGTTAAAGGTTTATTACAATTTTTTTCTTTTTTTCTTTTTTATTTATTTATTTATTTTTTTTTAGAAAATGAGTACAATATATCCACTTTCTCAACATTATATTAACAGTGATAGAAGTATTAATTTACTATTTGGATGTGCAGTTGAAACGTATATTAATTCACTATCTTTATTTACAAATTGTAAACTCAAAAAAACAAGTTAGCTCTATGTCAATGAAAATATCAAGACTGGACTTATTACTTTGAAACAGGTTGAAAGTGCTATTGATTATCTTGCATAGAAAACTAGTAAAGGACAAATCAAAATAACAAATAAATTAGACAATATACTTGAGCTTACCAATAAAGGTCGTGATCATGTAATTAAAATAAAACAACACATGGCATCAGATCTAACAATATGGAGATGGCTTCTTTTTTGTGATGGCAGTAATGATTGTGAAAGAGCATGTGGTGGACTTGGAGAGTGTAAATCTGAATGTCTAAATTTTTATTTAAAAAATAACCTTTCGACATGCACAAATGCACAGTTCAGATTATTATAAAAGTTATGCTTTCTGACATTGAAGAACCTTTACCAATACAGTTAGTTATTAAGAGTATATATAGATTATTGTAAATACTTGCAGCAGAACCAAAGTTAGGCAGAATCAATTTGAGTCTTCAAACTCGTGATATGGCAATAGCTGCATATCATGAACACTGTACCTCTGGAATGGAAATTGCATTAAAAGTCTTATTCCCATACAATAATGCAGATGAGATCAATCTTCGATATGTGCATAAATCAGGCAAAGATTTGTATAATGAACAACAATTAAAAAGGCTTATTGAAAGAGATGATCATTGATTACGTGAAGATGCCAGTCCATGGACTATTTTGGATCAATTGCTTACTTTGGAATTGAAAATACAAGGAAAAGTTCTTTATTACCAATGTCAGGACATCTTAGCTTCAAAAAATAGTTCAGAATACTATTATCAGTTAACTTTAAGCGATGAATTATAGCTTAGTTAAGGCCATGATTATGGACAATTCTGTTTTGAAATTGATGGTAAATATGATTTAAATAATGAAGGTGCACCAGTATTGTCTATAGTTATCAAGGATCAGGCTGGATATGATTCTCCACTGGCTTTTAGTTTTAGTAATAAAGAAAACTATTATACAATATGGTTAGCAGTACAGGCAGTAAAGGCTAATATTCCATGCAATAATCCTCATTGTATGCACCAATATTGATATATTGATTTGCCAGATAGGTAGGGTTTTAAGCATATACATGAATGTATATCATATTGGAATCTGTTGGCTATGATAGATAAGCATCAGCTGACCAAACTTGCATTACAAAATCTTGTTCATGGTACTATTTTATGTTAGTTTCATATAATGTCAACTTTAGAAGAACATTTACAACAATGGAAAGTTGATTGGAATTTATAATATTCTGTAGCATTGGTTTTCAAAATTGTAGGCCAGAATAAATCTGATAATAAGGCAGCTGAAATGGGAAATGAATATAAGAAGTTTATATACTTTTTACCACTTGATGACAATGTCAAAAATCTTTTGATTCGTGATTTGGAAATGAATTGGATTTGCGATAAATGGAGGCAAGGTTTTATTGATGGAGGGCGAGAACTACAAATGTATGCTTTAACTGATGCAAAGCCGATGACAACAAATAACTTAACAGAGAGAATGAATAAAACTATAGAATCATAGCGCAGCAGAACTCAGACAGTTTTATCATTCATTGAGTGTTTATATGATGTCAAATTTATTAAAAAGTCATTGGTTCAAAGTGAGCTAGGTGAAACTTTATCTAATGCAGATCTGGCAACTTATTGGAATATGCGTATGATCGAACACAAACAAATGCCATTCAAAAAGCCGATCGATCAAAAACATCATATAAATCAAGGTCACCTTTATGCACTACTCGATTTCATTATTCCAATACCCGAACAAACAAATTATATGTTTGTTAAAAAGCAGAGCACAATATTTTGCTCATCTTATAATAATCATTACATTAATATTTCAACAGAGGTGTCAGAACAAATTAATAAAATGATTATTAAATTAATCAATTGTGATAATATTAACATACCAGCATCTCATTATCTCATTAATATATCAACTAATGAGTGCACATGTTATGATTATGTCTGGAATAGATCATTTAGAGATGCTTGTAAACACATTTACGCAGCATGAATTTATATAGACTTATCACATGGAAAACTACAAAAACAAGATGTTAAAGAAAAAATTAGTAAAGCATTTCAAAAATAAGAAGAAAGCAATTGCATCAGAGAATAAAAATTATCTTATTTACAATGGGTCCAGTAAACAAGCCTATCAAGAGATTTTACAACTCTTTAATGCTGTAGGTGATGATATTTTTTTTTTAAATGAATGTCAAACAACTATGAAAGATCCTTTTCATTCAATTAACAATATTTCAATTCTTACAATGGTCAGAGCATCAAAAATACATAAAGCAAAATATCGCAAACCTAGCCAATTTTCAAATCTTGTTAAAAAATCTTTAAATAACAAGTTACCAAAGAATCATTTAAATAACCTCGACCAAGATTACACTTGCGATACTGAAAATATTAATGCTTATGATGATGAATATGATGACTCTTTTGCTGAATTTGTAAAATATGCTTAGAGTGATGAATATAAAGGTATTAAATTCAACAAGTATATTAGAATTAATTTAAGAATTCTTATTAACATATTTAAATTTATAGAACTTCCACCTTCTGTTCGTAGATGAAATACTACAAGAATTCGTAATAAGCATAGAGCTTCTATTCAATCTGTAGGTCTATTAGCATTAGTTAATTTTACTTTAATTTATTTATCATTATATACTTATTTTTATTTTTATTTTTAGTCATGTACATCAAATGGTGGAAAAGAAAATAATATGGCTTTAGCGATGAAGAGATCATTAGAAGAATTATTTCTTGAACAAGGGTGTGATTGGAATCCAAAAGAGTTTACAAATGCTGTGATAACAAAAAGACTATGTTTGAATGATAATTCTGTTGAAAATGGTGTGAAATTATATCAGTGGATTAGTAATAGAAAAATCTGGGCGAAGAATGCAAAAGAAACGTAATATACTTAACTTTAGTCTTGTCTTTATGCTTTGCTTTCCTCTTTCTCTTTCCAACAAAAGAAATGAATTAATGCAATAACAGCTTAAACAACTTAAAATAGCTATATATATTGTACTTGTGCAAAGCTGTTTTTATAAAATATGAATTATTCTCAATAAATATGTGATAATTATACAGAACTATGAGATCCCAAGATTCCTTTGTCTATAAAAAAGAATTAGGGTTATGAATCCTCAGTTTATAAGGAAACATATGCTTAGTTTATGAATCCTTAGTTTATAAGGAAGAATATAGTAGATATGAATATAAGTTTATGAATTTTTAGTTGAAAAATCTGTATATTTAAAATCCTTTAGCAGGATTATTTTGTAATTATGCGTCAATTCAGGGCATGCACCACTGTATGCTTATATGTGTTTCTTAAATAACAGATCAGTCAATTTTCAACCTAAGAATCTTGTGCATTTGTTGAGTGATCCTCTATGGTCTCTAAAAGTAAGATTCAATTGAATTGCTTGTTATGCTAACATTAATGCTAACAGAGATGAAGTGTAGAACTCATTGACATTTACTGTTCAAGAGAATGCTGATGTTTCAACAACCAATTCCAATATCCAATAGGAAGAAAACAAGGAAGAAAAACTTACATCAGAAAATAATAGGCAATATAAGAGTGAGTATTATAGTCAGAACAATTTTTTTTTAAACAAAATAAATAAAATAAAAGCACTATAGATTCTATTTATTAGATAGCTGCCTTATATAAGGCTGCCAAGGGAAAAGAATATTAAAATTATATTTGCTTAAAACAACAGAGGTGCTCTTTTCCCTTGGAACCAATTGTTTTGCATGATTAAGCAGAGTGTTTGTAGTATATATTAGCATTAATTAATCTCTTAATTGAGTTTTGTATATTTCTTAATAAGTAGATAGTTCACATACATGACAACCATATAAATCTTAAAGGTCAACACTTATGCTTAATACAACTAAATATTTTTTTTGTCTGATAGACAAAAAAAATTTATGTAGCTTGTTTATGTGAAATCAAGAGCTTTAAATCGTGGTCATGCCCTAAATACTTAATCGTAATTAATATTGGCAAATTCAGATGCCACTAATTGCAATAATTTGACAATACTGTGATAAGCAATCAGATATATCAAAAAAAGTAGCAGTATAATTTCGTAACAAAGTTAAGTAAAATGTTTCTTTGCACAGTTAGATTTTTTTGATAATTAAACGTTTCAATATCTAAAAGATTGATAATCATTAGTATGCTTTGATTAATTTGACAGTTTGTGTAACATCCACCTAGCAGTCTATCAGGAACAGGATGTAGATCAATTTTTTTTCCCACCCTATCAGGAACAGTACTGATGATCTATCAGGAACAGTATTTTTGTATATATAATCTATCTTGATTATAGAAATATCTTCAAAGTTACACTTATTCAAAATATCTAATGCATATTATTATTTTTAGGATTATTTTATTCTTAACAGAAAATTTACTAGAATCTTTTATGTTTTATATACAATTGATTTAGTTTTATATAATATGTTATAGTTAGATTAATATTTGCAGTTATAAATATTATCTAATGTTAAAGTCACTATCTTTGAAATGTGATATTTTTATTCAAATATATAAAACACAGCATGCCACTAGGGGCTACCTTACATTAGAGGTTACAACTAGTCATATATGCACTTTTGATGCCTAATTTAAGTAGTCTACTTATACATTACTATATAAGTTCTATACTAGATACTATATCTGCAAGCTAACTAAGAATCTTGCCTATTTAAATCCTCTATATATGCAATTTTCTTTGTATTATAAGAACATCTTTAAGACTACACTTATTCAAGTTTTTGACACTAGTTAGTACCCTTAGAACTACTTTATTTTTGACAAAAAACTTACTAGAGCCTTTATATTTTATATATACTAACCTAGTTTTATACAACACATTATAGTTACTTAATATTTGCAGTCACAGAAGTTATCTGTTTAACTATTATATTACATTATTTTTATTTTTGTAAAGTTTACTAGAACTCCAGTATCTATTTTTCTAACATTTGCTTCATAATCTTTTACTCGTTGCAACTTGAAACCATCAGTCTTATTTCAGACTATCAATTTAGATAGCCTGATATAATATACTTCTGTATCTTTTTTTTTTAACAAGTTTAGCAGCCTAGTTGGTTATATGTTTCTTTATATATATTTGTTGTTTGGTTTTAACTTTTAGTTTTTATAAAGATGTTTTGTGAGCTTTAACCAGTTTAATGATATCATTGAAAATTCATATTACCTTTTTACTCAAAAATTTTCAAGTAGGTTTTTGTTACTTTAGTTTTTGAGTCTTCTATGTTTGATAGTCTTATCATAGGTTTGTACTGAAGTTTTATGCAATACTAGATATATATTTCTCTATGTATATATAATGTTATAGTTTATATAGATGCCTCAAGCTTTTAATGTTAGTAGAATCTAACTTGGTGTACTTGGATTACAGTTACATAAGACCAACTAATCAACAAAAGACAGTTATTATAATGCAAATATAATTTTCAAAAATTTTATCATAGATGAAATTTGAACCTTAAATCTGTTACTTGAAGAATAACAACTCAACTACTACATTAGGATTTTTTTTTTTTTTTTATTTTTTAACCTTTGACAGCCATGATGGTCAACCAGTCAGAAGTTTATTTATAAATGTTTAGTACAAACAATATACAAATAGAACTATGTCTAACTCCATGTGCCATCATCACGTGGTTACCCAATTGGCACCTACGAGCGACCTGCCGCACCAGACCTGCTAAAGCCTGGATCGAGCTCGTCTGTCTGCCACCCTACAATTGAACAGCACCAATCTAATACTATTCATTTGTAGGAAGGTAAAAAACCAAAAAAAAAAATTTCTTGTTAAGAGAGAATGCACTAAAAAAAATGTGTATAGAGGAAAAACATGAAAAAACAAATATCAAGAAATAAAAAAAAAGGGGATTGCTGATGAAGGCTAGACAAATAGTTACTAATTATAAAGGCTGTGTTGGCCTATTAAAAATTATATGTTACTAAATACAGTAATCTCTACTTTAACTCTATCT